CAACCTGCTAGCACCGCACCCTGTTCCACGTTACTCCTAGCGCTCATTTCTCTCTGAAATTATCTCCTGGGGCTGGTTACCGTCTGCCTTCCCTCCACTAGAATGGAAGTTCCGGGAAAGCAGCGATCTTATGTGTCTTGTTCCCGATGCCTGACACACAGTAGGTGTGCAAGAAATAGTTACTGAATGTGTGCTGAAAACTTTTCTTTGAAATATGAGGAATGGTGATTTCATGGCTGGTTTTGATTTTCATGTTTATCTTTTTTTCCTATCGGGAAAATGAAATACCAATAACTACTATTGATTGAGCACCTACTAAGAACTGGGTATGTACTGGGAACTTTGTATAGATTACCTGGTTAAACATTACAGTAGTCTTATTACCTAGCAAAGTATTTCTAACCAGGTGGAGAACTGAGGCTCCATCAGATTAACCAATTTTCCCAAGATTATCCTGGCAGAACTAGAATTCCAGCTCCTTTTCTCTCTATTCTGGGCCTCATCCAAGAAACTGAAATGTATTTTCCACCATTACAGCCAGTAAACATTTAGCTTTATTTGTAAAAAAAAAAAAAACCCTGTTGCTTAGCCAAAAGAAGATTTGTTGTTTTCTCATTCAGATATAGTCCCAATAATAGTTAATAGTTATCTTCTAGGCCAGGTACTACAAGGCTGCCATAAGCCCATATTATCTCATTTAATCTTCACCGGTATTCTGAGGTCATCTCCATTTTACAGATGAAGAAACTGCAGCCAGGCTTCAGGAACTTGCAGGGTCAACAGTAAATTGCTGAGCTAGATTTTGTTAATAGTCCTTCTGACTTTAAATCTTTAGCCCTTACGTTAAAAATGCCTTCCATGCATAACTAAGAGTTGTTTATAGTTCCCCGCAAATTCCTATCCCATGTACATTTTATTCATCAGCTTTTTAGCTCTCTCCTCTGGAAACTTCCTCCTTGACTTCCAGATTACTACTGTTCAGGCTACATTTATGCTCACCCCAACTCTTGTCTCTGTCTTCCTCAGTATATTTCACACCCATCCCTTCCCATTGCTCCTGCACTGTCTTAGCTCAGCGTCTCAGGGACTTCTGCACTGTGTCCTAACATTGCTGACAGGTGGGTTCCTTCCACTACATAGAAATGTGTCCTGCTCCCGCTACTTAATTGGAGGTTACTTCATTATGGTAGAGTCCAATGACACAATATATTAAAACAAACTGAGGCTGGGCTACAGACTTTCTGCTGCCAATATCAAGTTTGTAGTTGCACTACTTTCTGAATTATTGAGGTTCTTAACTGCCATTGATTTTTGTGGTCGAGTTTATGGTTTGTGAGGCCTGGTAGTTGAGGGACTTTGATATAAGAGGAAAGGAAGTTCTCCTTTTACCTAAATTGAAATTTACTTTCACCTAAATCTAAAAAGAAATCCTTTGGGTTTTGCCTGCTGTGCTAAATGAACTCTGAACACAGTAACGCTTTGTGCTTCTTAAGGGAAGTGCTGGAAAACCAGCTAGTTCCTCTGTTCCCATGTGTGGAATGGAGAGGTAGAAACCACTATGGATTCCAAGAGCTCCTGCAGCAATTGTTTAGTAAAATAACTACATTTCAACTCTTTGTACTCTTGTAATGAAACCGAGGGCAAGAAGTTAGATAAGATTGACATGGTTACTTCCTAAAGTGCTAATAGCCAAACGGGACAGGAAGGAATTAAAGATCCCTTTTTTCTTCCACTTCTAGTTTTAGGGGTTGGTATGTTTTTGTCTGCATGGTCTTGAGAATCCAGTTTTATTTATAATGTGCCTCTCAGCAGTACTGTATTTTCTTAATTGTTAATTCCATTTCAGGAGTACTCCAGGGAGGGCTGGAGAGCTCTCCCACCTAGAATGCGCCCAGAAGTGTTGGGAGGTGGGACACTAAGGAATAATGAAGCCCTTAAGTTAAAAATGCCTTCCACTCATAACTCAGAGTTGTTTATAGTTCCCCGCGAATTCCTATCCCGTGTAAATATTATGCATCAGCTTTTTAGCTCTCTCCTCTGGAAACTTCCTCCTTGACTTCCAGATGACTACTGTTCAGGCCACATTTATGCTCACCCCAACTCTTGTTTCTGTCTTAGTGTATTTCACACCCATCCCTTCCCATTGCCCCTGCACTGTCTTAGCTCAGCGTCTCAGGGACTTCTGCACTGTGTCCTAACATCGCTGACAGGTGGGTTTTCCTCCCTCAGTCTCTTCGCTTTATAGTCTGGTAAATTCTTTAAGTCCTGTCATTATATGCTAAAAATTCTTGAATGGCTTCTATAGTTAATAACAATAATAACAGCAGTGGCAGCTGCTGAACTTACTGCGCCAGGGACTGTCATAACTGCTGTTCATGAATTACTGCGTTTAATTCTCAGAGCAACACCCACACTGGCACTGTTACTGTACCCCAGACTCCAGACCAGGCTAGGAAAAGTTAAGTTTGCAACAACTTCACAACAAATACAAGGTGGAGTTGAGGCTCAAACCCCAGGTGCTTTCTCTCTCTCCTCACTTAGTGTAGACTGGTTAGCCTAAGGCAGCCTCTGGCAGCCTGGGCTCCAAGTGGCCTTCACCCCACCGCTCCCCAACCCTGTGCGCTGGCGGCCTGCACTTGATTCAGCAACAGAGCATTTTGCCTTTGCTCATACACTCCTGTTGCCCAGAAAGCTCATTCACTGTGTCTCCCTGTGAAAACCCACGTCTTTCAAGGCTGAACTCATAAGCCACTTCCCCAGAATCGTCTCTCTGAACTCAGTCTCTCACAGCTTTTTTTAAATAAAAAAATTTATGAAAGTCCGTAGATTACTTTCTGACTACTGAGTAGTATGTCGGGGTTCTTTCTTTCCTTTGGCACTTTGGTCATTTCATACCCCACACCGGAGTGTTTCCTGGCTTATTTATTTATTCAAATGTACTGCCTTCCTTTCTAAATTGTAAATGCCTTGGAGAGGGTCAGTATGCATTCGTCTTGTTTCTATCCCTCACAAAACTAAGCCTGGTATCCTCTCCAGAGTAGGTGCTCAGTTAAAAAACAGAATCTGAAACAATTCTATTTGATTATATTCTGTTAGAATATTCTGCAAAAAAAGGTAACTGGAGTGTGGCATTTTGTTTCCTACTTTTTGATCCACAATAACGGTAGTGCCTTCATCAATTTATGATGATGCAATAAAAATCATACTTATTT